TGGCCGTGTTCTAGGCACGGGGGCTACACCACCCGATGAAACAAACAAGAATTCCTCCCCGTGAGCAGTTGACGCAGTAACGACTCTACCTGGCCTCTGGCAAACAATGCTATTATCTGGCCCCGAATCCAGAACCAGAACCTGGGAGTCCAGAGTTTTGAGTCCACAACTCTGTACCCCAGTACTCAGGAAGCAGACCCAAAACAGAGCACAGCTCCTGTCCTCCCAAATCCAGAATTTAGAACTTGGAGCTCAGAATCCAGAACTTACATCCAAGAACTCTGAGATGGTGGCTTAGAACTTGAACCTCAGAATCCAGATCCCAGAACACGGAGCCCAGGACCTAGGGACCTGAGCATGGACCCCCCAAATTCACAGCCTAGAGCGTGGGGCTTGGAACCCAGAGTCCCCGAGCTGGACCTGAAGACCAGAACCCAGAGCCCAGAAGAACCACAGAAAGAACCCCCTGCCCACCCTTGTTTCTCTATTACTACCCTGGTCTTATTTCCTTCCTACTGCCAAGCAATATTTTGGGAGCACCCAGTGCCAGAAGCAGCCAGCAAGAAATAAACAGAGGAGTGGATCCCCTCTCCCTGCCATGTCAGGTCCAAGAGAGCAGGGACTATGTCTGTCACTCTTGTGTCTCCATTGTCTCTAATGGGCCTGCAGTAGGTGCTTCCCAAATGTCTGTCGAATGGATTCATTCACTTCTCCCGAATGTTTGTCGACCCTGGTAGTTGTTGGCGTTCTGGTGGGGACAAAACACACACGTCTTGTCCCCATGAATCCGCTCTCTCTGGCTGCCAGGAAACTCACGGAGGGAAGGGGTTGTTTCTGACAAAGCCAGCAGCCAGAGCTGGGGAAGACTGTGGGGGTAGGGATGGTGTCCGGTGAGCGACCACCAGGAGCGGGGGAGGTATGGTGGCTTCGGAGGCCCTAAGTTCAAGCCCCAGGCACTCGTGCCACTACAGTTTCTGTTCCCTCTTCCATAAAATAATCAGTGCTAACAATGACTCCTGCTGCCCGAGTCATTGTGCGGGTAAATAGTTTCGATTCTGTGGCCTCAAAGCTCCCGGGCAGGGCAGGGCAGGGCAGGCAGGCAGGCCAAGTGTCGCAAGTGGCCGCCTTAGCTGGGAGATGGTGCCTTTATGATTCCGCAGGGGCCTGGCGCCAGGGCGCCTGGGGTGGGTTGGCCTTTGTTCCATCTGTTTGCACCCAGGTGGGGCTGGCTGGCCCAGGGCCCCTTCCTCCCTTCCTTCTACAGAGACGCTTCCAGGCCCAGCTTCTTATTCCCATTTTCTGTAGTGAGAAACCAAGCCCCCTTTGTAATTCATAGAGACCATCTCAGTCCTTCCCCAGAAATTCCTCCCACCTCCTGGTGACCACCACTAGAAACAATCAGTGGACACTGCCCCAGGGGAATAAGATTTGGGAGGAATGTCTGCCATCCACCTGATGGAAAGGAAGGACGAATCCCCCGAGAGGCAAGGAAGAAGGCAAACACCCACACCCAGAGAGCTTCTCCTAAGGTGAGTGGACTGCCCTAAGTGACTTCATAGCACCAGGCAGTAGATCAAAAGTCCACTGTGTGTGGGTTTTTTTTAAAGCAAAATGATAAAATAATTCCAAACTTCATCTGCAAAAACTAACAAGACCAGCACAAGTCAGAAAATTAAGGAACATAAAAGCGAGGTGTATGTGTAAAGCATTCCAATATTAAACAAGATTCTATGATCACAATCTCTTTTTTCTTTCTCTTTCTTTCTTTCTTTCTTTCTTTCTTTCTTTCTTTCTTTCTGTTTTTTAATTTATTTTTGAGAGACAGAGACAGAGACAGAGTGCAAGCAGGGGAGGGGCAGAGAGAGAGGGACACGCAGAATCCGAAGCAGGCTCCAGGCTCTGAGCTGTCAGCACAGAGCTCGACGCGGGGCTCGAACCCACGAACCGCGAGATCATGACCTGAGCTGAAGTCGGCCGCTTAACTGACTGAATCACCCAGGTGTCCCAATCACAATCTTTCAAACCTTGTGGTTCTACTGTAAGAATCAGGAGATCAGTGGCTCAGACTCCAGTAAGCCCAAAATAGACCCTAGGATTTACAAGATCGTGGATGATGAAGGAGGTATCCTGAGTCAGTGCAAGGGGGAAGGATTATTCAAGCAAGGGGAGTTGGAAAAACTCACTGGTTAGCATCTCACTGAGGGAACACCTAACTCAGAGATCTGAAACCAGCAGCGTGTGGCCTTATCTAGCCAGCAGACAAATTTTGCTTGGCTGCATGATGTTTTGCAAACGTATAGGTGCGTTGCAAACGATTTTGAGTCAGGTGAGTCGCTTAAAAATGGGCAGAAGGTCTGGTTCTGAGGGGACTCTTATGTCTGCAGGGCCATTTCTCCATCTTTCCTCTCAGGAAAAGTACACGGGTTCAAGCCCTGCATCAGCTCAGAGCCTGGAGCCTGCTTCGGATTCTGTGTCTCCCTCTCTCTCTGCCCCTCGCCCACTCACACCACGTCTCTCTCTGTCTCTCAAAAACGCATAAACGTTAGAAAAAAAATTTTTAAATGTTTGTGTAGATATGGAAAATAATGAGGGAAGATACATACCTAATGAATAATAGTTGTTAGTTTGGGGAAGTGTGATAGTCTGGGGATGGGGGAGAGGGTAATTTTTGACTTTATAAACTTGTGCTATTATTATTATTATTTTTAACTTTAAGAAAGAGAGAGAGAGAGAGAGAGAGAGAGATGGGCAGAGGGAGAGAGAGAATCTTGTGGAGTCAGACAGGGGTTTGATCCCACTACCTTGGGATCATGACCTGAGCCAAAGTTAAGAGTGGGATACTCAACTGCCTGAGCCACCCAGATGCCCCTGTGCTATTATTTTACTGTGTTAACGACTTTTTGCCGCCTTTGTAACATAAAAAATAAAGAATCATCACAAACACCTGTGTTCTTTTCTCTGCCTTATTTCTGACTGGTCTTTCTCCCTGAGATGTCCTCCCCTTCGTCCTTCAAAACCCCAGAGAGCCTAGAGAAAACCTTGAGTTCTCCTTTTCCTTAACCCTTCAGGGCCTCCCCAGGCCCTAACCGATGTCCCTCAAGGACAAGGCCTGGGTGTGGTGCAGACACCCTTGCCTCTCCCTTGCTGTGCAGCCCTAAGGAAGTGGACTAGCTTCTCTGAATCCTGACTCCTCACCAGTAAAACGTGACCACACCTTGCAGGGTTGTTTTACGGATGAGGGGGCCAAGGGGTCTCAGTCCTTGGAGAGCCTACCTAGCAAGGAGATATCCTTCTGGTGCTATTTCAGCCCACTGCTCTTCAGACAGAGTTCCCTTCTCTACTAGAGGTGTCTCTACTCCTACTCAGTGTCCTTCTCTACTCCTAGAAGTGGGCAAGCCGCCTGACCTTCCTGTTCTTCCTTCCCACACATCCCCTAAGGCTGTCAGGGTCCCTTAGGAGTGCCAGTGGGATATACCTGGCTACTTAGTAGGTGTTTTCAGCATTTCCCCCCCAGCCTGTCCCCAACCAGTCGGGGTCCCCACAGATCATCCCTCCTGTACAGCTGGGGAAACTGAGGGCCAGGCAGGGATGCGGGTCTCATTTCCTGGGGTGGGGGAGAACAGGATGGCTCCCTCTGGTATGCAGGCTAGCGGTGGGGGGGTTTCCTTCTTGAAGAGGGGACTTGGCGGACCCTTTGCAGCTGTTTCCTTCTGTCCCTCCCCAGCCCGCACTGCGGGGCTCCCTCGGGGACCCTGGGAAAACACTGTCCCTCTCCTTCTCTCCGCCCCTCCCACCTGGGTTTGGCTGTACTGATTTGGGGTGGGGGCTGTGATCCAGGTCTCCCAGGCTTTGAGGGGCTGCTGGGATGGGCCCCTCCCTTTCCTCAGAACTCAGGAACGGAGGGGACGTTTTTACACAAGCGCACATCACACTGCACCACTGCCGATACCGTCCGGACAGCATCGGAGCGTCTCCTCTGCACCTCCCACTGCCCCGTGCTGTCCCTTCGCCTGCTGTAGCGCCAGCCTCCTCCCTGGCCCTTGCCCCCGGCTGGTGCCCTGCAACTTGTCTCTTCCGCCAAAGGGATCTTTCTTAACCTTTTTATTTCAATGATGAAATATTTCAAACACCCACAAAGATAGCTAATACTAGAATAAATACCATGGTACCCCCCCCAGTTACTGGTTTTCTTTAAAAAAAATTTTTTTTAATGTTTATTTATTTTTGAGAGAGAGAGAGAGAGAGAGAGAACACGAGCAGGGGAGGGGCATGGAGGGAGGGAGACACAGAATCCAAAGTAGGCTTTGGGCTCTGAGCCGTCAACATAGAGCCGGATATGGGGCTCGAACCCACGAACTGTGAGATCATGGCCTGAGCTGAAGTCAGACGCTCAACCGACTGAGCCCCCCCCCAGGCGGCCCTAGTTTTCTAAGCTGCACGGCAAATCCCAGACTCGGCAGCTGAAGACCACGCACACAGTGCAGAAGCCCAGGCGTGGCTTAGGCATTGACCAGGACTGGGGTCTCGGCAGAGGCTCAACTAGGGAAGGGTCTGCTCTGCTACCAACCTTGCTCAGGGTCTGGCACAACTGAGGACCCTGTGGCCGTAGGATTCACAGCAGCTTGCTCCTTCAAAGCCAGCAACGCACAGACACTCTGCAGGAGAGTGGCCAACACCAGGGAGTTTTATATAACGTCCCGCAATCCCGGGAATGGCAGCCTATCACCTTTGCCGTATTCTATTGGTGATATACATGTCCCAGGTCCTGCTTACCTTCCAGGCTGCAGACACCAGGAGGCAGGAGAACCGAGGCAGCTTGCAGTCCCTCTGATGCCCCCTCATCTCAGGTTAAGAAAGAAAACATCACAGGGGCACCTGGGTGGCTGAGTCAGTTAAGCGACAGACTTCCTGTCAGGTCGTGATCTCGCGGTTTGTGGGTTCGAGCCTCGCGTCGAGCTCTGTGATGACAGCTCGATGCCTGGAGCCTGCTTCGGATTCTGTGTCTTCTTCTCTCTCTCTCTGCTCCTCTTCTGCTTGTGCTCTGTCTCATTTGGTTTATTTAAACCAAAAAAAAAAAAAAAAATAGAGAAAACATTACAGGTGTATTGAACCCTCTGAACCTTCTTACCTGCCTTCCTTCCCCGAAGTAGCTAGGGCTTGATGACTCCCATGTAGGTTGCATTTTTTTGCTACATGTGTATGAATCCTTATGCCATAGCTCACGTTATTCTGCACGTTTTTACATTTTGCAACATGGTATCTTAACAGATTTTTTTTGCTATGACTTACTTTTTTTGGTTTATTATCACGTTTATGATATTCTTTCACACGAATATATGAAGTTCTGTTCCATTCATGTTTCACTGCTGTTTTATATACTATGTCATCGTATAAATATAACAATGTATTTGCCAATCCTCCTGTTTTCTATTATTTAATTTTTTAATGTTTGTTATTTTTCAGAGAGAGGGAGAGAGAGAGAGAGAGAGACAGAGAGAGACAGAGAACAAGCAGGGCAGGGGCAGAGAGAGAGGGAGACACAGATCTGAAGCAGGATCCAGACTCTGAGCTGTCAGCACAGAGCCTGATGCGGGGCTCAAACTCACAGACTGTGAGATCATGACCTGAGCCGAAGTCGGACGCTCAACCAACTGAGCCACCCAGGCACCCCCCTCCTGTGTTGTATTATAAAGAGAGCATATGCGGGGCGCCTGGGTGGCGCAGTCGGTTAAGCGTCCGACTTCAGCCAGGTCACGATCTTGCTTGCACTCCGTGAGTTTGAGCCCCGCGTCAGGCTCTGGGCTGATGGCTCGGAGCCTGGAGCCTGTTTCCGATTCTGTGTCTCCCTCTCTCTCTGCCCCTCCCCCGTTCATGCTCTGTCTCTCTCTGTCCCAAAAATAAATAAACGTTGAAAAAAAAAATAAATTAAAAAAAATAATAATAAAGAGAGCATATGCTTGCTGTTCTCATCCCTCCGCCATGCATGAGGGTTTCTCTGGGCACAGAAGCCTAGAAGTGGAATTGCTGAGTCAAAGGATTTAGTACCCTCACATCTCCAAGATAAGGCCAAAGAATTTTCCAGACTCGTTGTTCCCATTGACACTCCCACCAGCAGGGCAGGGAATCCCCGTTGCTCTATCCACATCCTTGCCAGCACTTGGTAATGTCAGCCTTTTACATGGTTACCAGTTTGTTGGGCATGAAATGGAACACGATTGTTGTAGAGAGATTGTTCTAGAACATGCTATTGATCACATTCTCCTTGTGCTTCAAATCCACCCGAGGGCTCCCCAGCTCGGGACCTGATCCAAGCTCTTGAGTTTGGCATCTGAGCCTTGCATGACCTTTGCACCCTCATAGACCCTGCCCCCTCATTGTCTCCTCAGTCCCAGGCACAATAGACCACAGACGAGGCTCTCCCACCATGCAAGGCTTTGTGCTCGCTGCTCCCTCTGCGTGAAACCACCCCCCTGTTCCAAGGCCCCTGCTTTATTAAGAAATAAATAACCAAACAGACCGCCTGTATGTTTTGAACGTTCACATTAAAGAAATGAATGCCTTAGGCACAGTAAAAACACAAATGCAATATAACCGTACTTTTCAAATGGTGGCTTCAGGGTTCAGACCAGAGTTCTCCACCTCGATAGCACTGACGCTGGGGACTGGATCATTATTTGTGGCGGAAGGTTGTCCTGTACCTCGTAGGATGCTTGGTGGCATCCCTGACCCCGCCCCACGAGATGCCAATAGCAACCCTACACCCTTGTCATGACAATTAAAAATGTCTCCTGTCATTTTCCCCTGGGGAGGGAGGGCTGACCCTGTTGAGAGCACTGATTTAGGAAGAGATTCATTAATAATGCACTCCGTGGTCTGAAAGTGCTTACAGCCCTATGATGAACATTTTCTTCCCACCTGGAAACACTGTTTTTTCCACAACCGAGCAATTTATACCATTGGGAAAGGACATCCAGAGTCTAAATCCGAGGACCTTCACATGTGTGAGGCCCTAGCCAAAGGCTAATGTCACCTCTCTCAATAGACCCTGCTGGAACTGCCCTGTTTAAGCCCTGCCCAGATGTCACCCCAGGTGTCCCCAATGCTTGTTGCAGCTGCCTTCACGTGTTTGTGGGTCTCTGCTCCTGTCCCACAGCCTGGGATTGGGAGGGCCCTCTGTGGGTGTGGGTGACACAGCTGAATTCTGCTCTGTCTCCAGCTCGCACCTACACCAGCGCAGAAAGATGTGTGGATCTGAATTGCGAATTGCATGGAAGTCACCTAGGCCCTTCTCCAGTTGACCCAGTGAAACCCAGATGTGTGCTGGGACCCCGGTGAGCAGGCCTGGAGAGGGGATATGGGAAGGTCAGGGTGAGGAAGAAGGAAACAGTTCTGGCCAGAGAGGTGGGCCAGACCTCCCCAGTGTGGGTGGGCAGGGGCATCTTTGGAGACACCGTACCCTCAATGCACAGCAGGGCTGCAGGCCTTGTGGGAGGCACCTGTGTGCCTGTGTGCACACGTGGACACTTGTGTTCGTGTGTATAGGCGCACACATATTGAGTGGGGGCATGGATGCCTGATACGCATGTGGAGGTGGGTGGGGCCTATCTGCCTACCCTGTCTGAAAGAGAAGACTTGTCACCCTCCTTCTGCTTTGTTTTTCCTCATGGCAGCTATCACTACCTGACATTATATTATGTTTATTTATTATTAGTTTCTTGTGTCTCTCCCGCTAGCTGTCAACTCCATGAGGGCAACGCCCTGGCTAGTGTGTTCACTGGCATATATACCTGCAGCACCCAGAGGAGTGCCTGGCTTATAGTACATGTATGCATAGGTGCTCAAGAAACATATGGGATAAGTGGTTGGATGGATATGAAGGGCTGACTGGCTGGATGAGTAAGTGGATGGATGGATGGATGGATGGGTAGATGGATGGACGAGGA